TCCTCGTTGCTTGCACCTCCAGCAACATTCCTCCCGACTGTAGACCGCGGAAGCTACGACCGGGGTGTGGCTTTGCGGCACGTCCCTTCGTCGTTCCTGTCTCCGGCGGTCGGCCTCTTCGTATTCGGTGGCTCGGATGCTCAGATCCCCGACGCTGAGCACGTCCGCCCGACGGATGTACAATTGGTACTCCGGATCCATGTTTTCGTAGAGCTGTTCCAGTTGGTCTAGGGGTGAATATCCCCCGGCGCGCCGCATCATGGTCAGGACCTCGGTGGCGTACTTTTGGAAGGACTCTTTAGGGCGTTGTTGACGTCCCTGGATCGTCCTTTTCATCTGTCTCTCATACCCGCTTGGCAGGTATTGCTGGCGGACAGCTTGGCGAAAGTCGGCCCAGCTGGCTATGGTATCGCGGATGTTGCGATACCACAGCAGGGCGTCTCCCCGTAAGAGTTCGGGTAGCCCTAACAGCATCTGGGCGTCGGTGTAGCCGTAGCCCAGGCACAGCTCTTCCGTACGCTCGAGGAATGCCAGGGGGTCCTTGCCCTCGAAGTGGCACCCCCATTTTCGGATCTGATCCATGATCCTGGCCGGTTCAACAGGTGTCGGGGTGGTAGCTTCTTCGTCTTTGGTTGGGCTTCCGGTGGCCATTTCGACGTTGATAGTGGGCACAGGTAGGTGAGTTCGAAATAGCGCGGGGTTTTGCCCGACAAATCGGCGGAGGCGTCGGCGGACCTCGTCTAAAGTTCCTTGGCTATCGATTCCGTGTCTTTTGGCCAAGGCAATAGCTTCGGATTTTGATAATTGATTTACCCACGCGGGCATCTGGATAGGCTTAAGCGAGTCGGGATCTCCACTGGGCAGGTCCCTGTTCGGGCGCCATGTAACGGTTCACCTTTCCCGACGCCGCGGATCGGCTCGCCGGTTCCAGGATTCGGGAGGAAGGGGGAGATTCAGACTCGCTTATTCCTTATTAACAATGCTTTGGTTTATTCAAAAAGAAACAAGTAAACAAAATGTTTGTTGGCATAAAGCCTAAATAGAGAAACTTATTGACTACTCGGTATAAACAAAATGTTTGTTGGCATAAAGCCTTAAATAGAGAAACTTATTGACTACTCGGTATAAACAAAATGCGGAGGCGTATAGCCTGTAGCGGTGTCCGGAAAAGATTTACAAATTACCCGGTATAACTTAGAGATATGGTGTACGGAGGCGTATAGCTTATAGCAGGAAGAAACCGGAAACCGGGAAACCCGGCGTAATGACGAGAAACCCGTCACCCGGTGTATAGCAGGAAGAGACCGGAAACCGGGAAACCCGGCGTAACAACGAGAAACCCGTTGCCCGGCGTGTAGCAGGAAGAGACCGGAAACCGGGAAACCCGGCGTAACAACGAGAAACCCGTTGCCCGGCGTGTAGCAGGAAGAGACCGGAAACCGGGAAACCCGGCGTAACAACGAGAAACCCGTTGCCCGGCGTGTAGCAGGAAGAGACCGGAAACCGGGAAACCCGGCGTAATGACGAGAAACCCGTCACCCGGTGTATAGCAGGAAGAGACCGGAAACCGGGAAACCCGGCGTAACAACGAGAAACCCGTTGCCCGATACTAAAGGTAGGAGGCCAGAAACCGAGAAACCCGGCGTAACAACGAGAAGCCCGTTGCCTGGCTAGGAGGTCCGGAACAGGACTGGTGCCGGCTCATCCGTCGAGCCGGCTTATATACCCTGCCGGCGGTTCCCCCACTCTACATCGAGGCTGTGGTGGGGGTAATGCCGGCGTCGTAGTGGGGCGCCTCTGGGGGTTGTAGTGGGGCGCCCCTGGGGTAGGGTGACCCGTGTATCGCTTATGTTTTTGTGTTTAGGGGCGCCTTAGGCGCCATAGCCTCAAGTGGCGGGCGGGTGATCGGCCCGCGAGGCGTTAGTAACGGCCACGCCGTTACAGTGGTAGTGCTTGATTCCTTGAGGACCCCGTGATGTGGTAAGTAGCACTTGGGACTGGAAGCGGTTGTAGGCGTGCTAACTTTCTTCATGTGTTGCAGGTCCTCGTACTCTTGCATGAAGTCTCAGTAGAGGTCACCGAACCGAGAATCGTGTACGCCTTTCTTCTCCATCGTTTCCAAGAGGCGCTCTGCTGGTCGACGAGTTTTGCTGAGCGGTGTCGACGGTGAAGCAAATGGCAGCCTCACCATGTATCTGCCGCTGGACGTGCGTGTAAATGTGCGCACAAAGAAGTCCTCGCATCTGGCTTCGTCGGAGGTGAGCGGGGCACCAGCTACTGGCTCGCGCTCCTGCTCCCAAAATCGTCGAACCAGGTCAGCGTCGTCATCGGCGGTGCACTGGAACGTGCGGCGATGTCCATCGGTTGCTGCTGCGTCGTAGTCCCCGGACAGGATCCATCCTAGACTGGTCTGCTGGGCGATCGGCATTCGTGATCCATCCTTGCGAAGGCCTTTCTCAAGAATCAGGGAGTAGACCTCTGCTCCAAGATGTAGCTCCGCAGGATCGTCGTCCAGGAAGCGCGGGTCGGCCAGTTGGAGTCTTTGGATATGAGACCAGCTGCGGTCTTCGCGATGAACTGAGTCTTGTTACAGCGAGATGTGAGGCATCACAAAGGCCACCACGCGGAGCTCGGCGTTGGTCACGTCTGACGTGATGTGCATGTGACCTTGCCACGAGCTGATCCAGAACGAGTCCCTCCGATGCCGAAGATGGATAAATCCGTGGAAGCTCGAGGCAAACGGAGACGCTGAGCTAGGGCCTCGGAGATGATGGACACCTCGAAGCACTGGTCGATCAGGACTCGAACAGCGTGTGATGATCCGTATCAATCAGCGACCTTGACGCGAGCGGTTGCGAAAAGGACGGCCTTGTGGTCCTCGGGTTGCCGTGCAGTGGCCAGTGTGGTGGTGAGTGTGGTAGCCTCAGCTGACGGCGTTGACGTGGGTGCTCCGTGCAACATGGTGTGGTGTCGTGCGTTGCAAGTTAGGCAGTTCTTCTTAGATTGACACCGTGATAGGAAGTGATTGCCCAGACAGTTAAAACAAAGTCTGTTGATCTCAACAAACGTTTTCCGCTCGGCCGCGGTCTTGGCCTTGAACCCCTTACAGGTCATCAGTGTGTGCTTTTCACGACACAGTGCACATTGTGGTGAATCCGTGCCTTGGTGCTTTGTGACGTATGCTTTGACGACTCGTGATGCCTCTCCGGAGCCTTTGGTGACACTCTTCGGTCGTGCGGCGTTGAGTGTTAGAATCCGTCGACTTATCAAGTCGAGAAGTGCCTCGTTCTGTGGTGGTTCGGTGGAGTCTGACGTGGCTGACTCCCATTCGAGGCGAGTGCGTGCGTCGAACAGTTCGATGACCAGGTGGTTGAACAGGTCCATCCCGTGAGTGTTGATTGGACGTCCGATACTCTCCTGTGCATTGACGGCGGCGGTGACAGCGTTGTGGATGCGGCTCAGCTCCTCGACGGTATCTCCCTTCATCTTTGGTACGGCGGTGAACGTGGCAAAGTTGGAGCGGATTAATTCTCTCTTATTGTTGTAGTGCTTGTCCAAGATCGCTCAAGCGCGATCATAGTTGTCACTGGTGACAGGTAGTGATTTTATTAACCTTTCAGCTTGCCCTGTCAGACATGAGCGGAGGTGGTAAAGACGCTCGATGTTAGAGATCGCATTACTGCTCACCACGGAAAGGAAGAGATCTCGAAAGGATGGCCAGTCGGCGTAGGCGCCAGAGAACGGCGGCAACTTGATGCGTGGCAGTGAAGACTTTGATGTGGCATCGACTGATGGAGGTACGTTTGGCTTCTGGAAGTGTTCGGCATAGCCATCCAATGTACTTCGCTGTCACGTAGAGGTTTTCGGTGTCTCCGTGCAACTCTGACTTGAAGTAGTCGCTCTCACAGAATTTCTCTTTCAGGGCCGCGCGAATAAGATCATGCTGTGCTTCGAACTTCGTCCACAGTTGATCCAGGATCCTGGTGCGTGTAGCGACGGCACTGGCGGTGATGTTGGTGGTGCCCAACTTCTTCAAATATTCTACGGAGCGCGAAATGGGGACCTGGATCTCGCGTTGGCAATTGATCAACGTGTTTACATCCATGATGATCTACGAGCACTCACTAAACTGCACGAAGAGTCATGTTCACGAACTTGCGGATGCTGGTGCGACGGATCCGGCTTGAAGGACCAGAAATATGTTCGACAACGTGCCTCGCGTAAGAAATGGTCGCGTTAAATAGATAAGTCACCCGTTGTATCAAAGAGCGTTTAATTATTGACAATACACACTATTCGACAAAATACACGCACAAGAAAATTAACACAGAATTTTGATCAGTTTCAGAAGATGTACTCGTAATCACAAAGAATAAGCGGCGGTCGTCAAATAATTTTCGGCGGTTTAGCGATAAGCGGACTAGCGATATGCGGTTCACGGTGGAATACGATAAGGCGCGAATTTCGGGTGTGAGCTCTCTTTTATGGTTTTCCCGAGGAAAACCCACCCTCTTGGAAAGCGCCAATTATTGTAGACAATTTTAATTATAAATTTAAAGTATAAGACAGGCGATAAGAGCCGATCGCGGAAGACAGTGCGTTATCCCAACGAAACTAAATTTTTTTCGTTAGAATTAAATATCTGTGCACAAGGCACCAAATTCTACTTGGTCACTGTCAAGATTTTAAAATATAAAATAATCTCATATATTTGAGATTTAATTTCAATAATCCTTTAACCCCCCTACGGAAATAAATAAATGCAAGAGAAAAATATAGATCCAGCGATACACGCTGGCTTAAAGGCGTTTGTTTATCAACATTATTATATATATCAGAGAAAAGTATAGAATCGAAAGGATCTGAATAGCTCAGTTGGAAGAGCAGTCGCCCGGCAAGCGAAAGGTCTCGGGTTCGATTCCCGATTCAGCGACTTTCGGATCTATATTTTTCTCTTGCATTTATTAAACACGTTTAACGTGTGAGTCGACGGAAGGGTGATGAGTGCAACGAGAAATTCTGCCGATTTTACAGTCCAGACGCTAAAGGACAAATTGAAGACCTTGGGACTAAGCACGACCGGGTGCAAAAACGAGTTGATAAACCGGATGACGGTGGCGGATCCTGCGGGTGGTTGGCTTCGCGAAACGGACGTGGTGCAGAACAATCTGTCGCATGACGGAGAGAGAGAGGCAGACGTATCTCGCGCCTCGGCCATGAGTGAGACGGAGATGACGCGACGAGAGCTGGAGATGCTCAGGAGAGAGCGGGAACTCCTGGAGCGAGAGCTCGCAATGGCGCGGCGAGAGGCGGAGCTCCTTCGAGAGAGAGAGAGAGAGAGAGAGAGAGAGAGAGAGAGAGAGAGAGAGAGAGAGAGAGAGAGAGAGAGAGAGAGAGAGAGAGAAAGTCCAGAGCTTCTTAGGATTATCGGGTTACTTCAAAAAATTTATTTGCAATTATTCGTCGATCGCAAGGCCCTTAACTAATTTGCTGAGAAAAAATAATGCTATTTGTTTTGAAGCAGGGGAGAAAAACGCGTTTGTTGAGCTGAAGGCTGCCTTGGCGAATAAGCCCGTCTTAAAAATCTATAATGTAAATGCGACCACCGAGCTCTATACCGATGCGTTTAAATACGGATACGGTGTTATCTTATTGCAATATGGCGGCGACAATTTATTACATCCCGTGTATTATGCGAGCGGCCGTACCACTGCGGCAGAAGAAAAATACAGTAATTACGAGCTCAAGGTGCTTGCAATTATTAAAGCTTTGAAGAAGTTCCGCGTATATCTGATAGGGATATGTTTTAAAATAATAACCGACTGTAAAGCGTTCAGTCTGACGATGAGCAAGAAGGATTTATGCGTGCGCGTGACTAGATGGGCGTTATAACTCGAGGATTTTAGCTACTCGATTGAACATTGTCCGGGAAAGTCGATGACTCACGTCGATGCCCTGAGTAGAAATCCGATGCCGACGTGTATGCTGGCCGAGCGTGAGGACAGCGCAGCGTAGCGGCGCAAATTCGGAAGGGTCGGCGTAACAACGTTCGTTTGCGAGAAATAATAGAATTGGCGGAAACAAGAAAAATAGACGTTTTTGCATTGCGGACGGGAATTTTATGTAAATTAACTAACAAAGAAGAACAAATTGTAGTCCCACGATCGATGCACTCGCAAATAATACGTTATGTGCTTGACAGAGGTCATATGTCGGCGAGTAAGACGGAGCGTATAGTTGCGCGAGAATATTAGATACCGGATTTGAAAGCGAGAATAGACAAAATTGTAAAAAAATTGCGTAGCGTGCATTTTAGCCGAGAGAAAGTGCAGTAAAAAAGAAGGATTGTTACACCCTATTGAGAAGGGTGAGGCTCCCTTAGACACTTTTCACTTCGATCATTTGGGACCGCTCCCCTCGATGCGTAAGCGTTATCGTTACGTGCTGGCAGTGGTGGACGCTTTCACCAAATTCGTGTGGCTTTACGCGGTTAGAACGGCGAGCGCGGCGGAAGTTTTGACGTACTTGACAAAGCAGTCGCACGTCTTTGGAAATTCGAGAAGAATTATATCGGATCGCGGTTCGGCATTTACCTCGAATGACTTCCGAGAGTAGAGCGGAGAGAGTGAAACACGTCCTCACCACGACGGGAATGCCGAGGGCGAATGGGCAGGTCGAAAGAGTCAACCGGACATTAATCCCGCTGTTAACGAAGTTATCCGCTCCTCAACCCGAGAACTAGCACAGATATCTAGACTTAGCGCAGAAATACTTAAATCGCGGCTACGCCGCATAGAAGTATAGGGACAACGCCCTTTCGATTACTTTTCGGGGCCGATATACGAATGAATGACGACGTCTCTATCCGCGAATTGGTAGAGAGAGAATTGATTTCGATGTTCGAGGAGAGTCGCGACGAGATAAGGGATCGAGCCAAGAATGCTATCCAACAAATACAGCGAGAAAATAGGCGAGGCTTTAATGAAAAAAGGAAAGAAGCTAGGACTTATGCGATCGGTGATCTTGTCGCTATCAAAAGAACGCAGGCCAACCCTGGGCTGAAGTTTGCAGCCAAGTACCTAGGACCGTACCGGATAAAGAAAACATTAAGGAATGACCGCTACATCGTCGAGAAGGTGGGTGAGCATGAAGGGCCCTACGAGACGTCCGCAGCGGCCGAATATCTTAAACGTTGGGTAGACGAAGAGACAGATAATATCTGAGGGCAGATATTAGCGCAGGATGGCCAAGTTGTAGGAATCGAAAATCCGAATTTATCTCGTATTATTATATGTTTAATTTATTTTTCTTATTGAGCGTGTTCGGACGTCCCTGTCAGGGTAAATGATTGATTTATGTCAGTATTTGAATAAGCCGAATGTTTTGTTTTCAAAGAGACTCGTGCTCTTGTTTGTCTCGCAACGGCTAAAATCCCAAACAAGGAAACAAGCGTGTCTTTGCCGGATTGGCTGGCGGATTTTTCGAGATCGAGACGCGGAACCGTTTTGGCGAGCGTTGGCGAAAGAAAAGTCAGACGATAAGAGTCCGCGAAAGAATATAGACGCGCGTGAAAAATCTTCGAGCGAACGTTAGGCACACCGCCGCCCGCGAATAAATTGTATAAGAGCTGTATTAAATCGAATTTTGCTAAATAGAATAAAGACGACGCTTTATAATTTAATTATTTAATTGTTGTGTAAAATAAGATTCCAAATATATAATTAAATTTTTCTAACTATATATATGTGTGCTTTACTTTTTTTTTTAATTACTAATATGTAATATTTATATATAAGTCCAATATAATTGCATTCATTGACAAAGATTTTAAGCACCTAGCTATGTATCTAATAACAATGTTATACCTATACCAATAATATTGGCAATAGTGAAAATCATACACTTTTGGGACCATTTTTCGAGTGAGTGATTATTCAAACTGAATTTGTTTACGCATTTGTTTGCGACGTAACAATAAGCAAAACATTCGTTTATCATTGCGGTATATATTTTTCTGAGTATTTAAACTTTTTGTAGTTAATAAGTGTATATATGCAAATATCTGTAATATAATATTTTTATTGAAATCTATTAATATATTTACCTTAAAACTCCAAGTACCATCTTCCAGCATGGCTACAGGAAAAGTACTAAATATGTATTCCAGAGCTTTGAACATAGGATACCATGCTATATAATCTTTTTCTTGATGCAGATATGATGTGAGATTCAAGAATATAGAGAAATTGAGTTGGCCTGTTATCATTAAATGAAATGCATCATCGATAATTTGGGCACGATTAAGAACATGAATTTTCGTGTAATCATCAGAGTTTAGGTAATTCGAAATTCTTTGCCAATTCTCATCATCATAGTTCACGCGATAATATCCTGTCAAGTAGTAAATAAATTTGATCAATTTTTATTGTTTCGAATAATTTTATCAGAATATATTTTCAAATATTTCCATTTCATACTTTTGTTTATATCATTTATAAATGAAGAACGTACTAAAAATTTAATATAAATAAAATGAAAATATATGTAGAAAATTAATTATAAAAGTGTCATCCTAATACTTGAAATAGTAGAAAAAATGAAACTGTGCAAGATATTGTTGTAATAAAATAAAATAAATTTTATAAATATAATTATCTTTTTAATAATTTTTGCTATTATAAGAAAAAAAAAATATTTGTAAAAATATGATATTAATATTGAATGATATTATTTAGAAAACGTATATTTTAAATATAATATTATGTATATAATATTGCAAAATATGACACAAAGCATTTTAAAACTATTATATAGTTATTTAATGAATATTTCAGATTTTTATAGGACAATGAGTAAAATAGATAAAAATATGAAATAATGTCAATTATGTGTGTGTAAAATAAAAACGAGAAATATATGTTATGATAAGTCCATTGATTGATATTTACCAATTTGTTGTATATTGAATATTACCCAATCATACTTCTTAAGTGATATTGGTAATGATAATTTTAAATCCCTTGACACGCATACCATATTATGAATAAAATTATTAAAATCGAGAGACATTTCCGTAGTAAAAGTTACAGGAAGGCAGTCGATATTTAATGTGTCGATATATTGTAGCGATACATTTGCTTCGCTTATAATATCATGATAATTTCGTACTACTTTAATGAGAGGAAAATACTTTTCCAAAGCCCAATCTACCATTCTTGTTAGTTGTGGAACAATATTTAGATTTTTTGTTAAAGCAGCTTGTTTTATAAAATTCAAAAAGTCTAGATCATGTGGTCGTCTAAATTCACAAATTATGTAAAATATACATAAAAAAGAAATATGTTAAAATTGTCTGTGTAATGTTAATATTATATAAAATTTTAATAAATACTAATTGTAAAAAGCAAAATATGAAATTGCTCTTCTATTTATATATTTATATATCTTATATTTATATTATAAAGAATATAACGTAATTTTTAATAAAATTTAATAATTTTATTAATTTTTTTAGGTATTTTTAGCATTAACATAGATTATATTTGTGCAAAGTATTGAGAGAGTTATAGAATAGTTAAGAAATAAAACAAATAAGAAGTTGAAGACAAAACGAAATTAAAAGAAATAATATAAAAGAGATCGATTTACGAGAGACCAAAATAAAAATAGAAGTGTAATGGAAATGAAATATTAGTGTTTTAGATATTTAAAAATCTGTTAAATAAGGTTAAAAACAAATGTAGCACAAAATGCAATTAAAAAACAAAAGAAATTATAAGAATTAAAAACGATAAAGAAATGCTACTTATTAAGATATAGGGAGCCACCTCCGATTTCGATGACCTTGGCATATGTTGTCAAGGTCATTGTCCTGAGTAATAAAAGTATCAAATTGATTTTAAGCGTCGCTCATTGTTTATAAAAAAGCTATTAAAAGACAAGTTTACTAAATATTACTAATATTTATGACATATATATTTAAATGTATTATATGTTTGGATGCATAATGAAGTAAACGCGTGGGTCAAGAAGGAGCCTGGAGCTGCGCCGGGAAGAGGAAAGCCTATTCAAAAACTAACCTTTTACCAACATATGTCCGAAGAATGAATTTTAAACAATGTTTCTGATATTTATATAAATATTCTTTTGCCTTTATGGTCAGAATAACTGTTATATTTAAAAAACTTTTTTTGTTAATAACTTTTTTATAAACAATGAGCAACGCTTAAAACCTTTTATACTTACTCACGACAGTGACATTGACAACATATGTCAAGATCACAGAAATCGGAGGTGGCTCCCTATATCTCTATAATTACCAAGTAAAATAACAATGTGTATGTATATAAAAAGGTGACAACGATAAAACAACAATTTCTTTTTACAAAAACGGTTTTTATGAGAAAAATAATGAAATTAAAAATAAATCTAGTAGCAGCTTTAGAAAATAGCGGAATTGTTATACTATAATAAAAAAAAGCATTAGGAAATAATGTCAGAAGTCAAAAAATAAGGAACATTTTATAAAACTTCTATTATTAAACATTATTTATATTACACAATTTTATTTTTTTAATATTATATTTTATATTAAATTACTCACGTGCTATTTACATATAAGCGAACGCTTTTCCAAAATATTTCTTCGGTCAAGACATGTTGCATCATACGCAGTATAAAAGGTGCTACAATTTACATCAAATTACAAATTAGATATATTATAAATATATATAAAAAAACTTCAAAGGACCATTCAATTATAACTTTCTCTAATTACATATGTGCCGCGATTGCCGGACACTGTGTGTGCGTGTGTGTGTATGTGTGTGTGTGCGTAGATTGGCGATATTTCAATAAACTGTCATTTTGTGAAGTAGAAGGCCACATATGATCATCATCCAAATTAAGAGAATAATGTTGATTTTGAACAACAAATAAATTTATTATTTGATAATCTGGATAAGTCTACAGAAGAAAATAATTAATATATATCGACATAACCAATCTGAAGATATTTGCATTACAAACAAATACTAATATTATTAACGTTACTTCTTTGTTAAAACGAAACACTTTCTCATTTTGAAAAACTCACATTAAAACAAATATAATAATAAAATTTAAAATTTTGTATTAATATAATTTGCAAATATTACATATTTTTTAAATTATTGTCTCATGATATCATATTGCAGACTTCTCTTTATCAAATTTATTTAAATAAGTATCATGTGTGTACTAGTCTTTGATTGATTTATTTTATTTTAGATTACATAGAAATTTATAATTCTAATAAAGTGGTGTTAAAAAATTTTTATAACAGTAGCATTTTATTTTATTAAATTTTTAATAATTAAATTATAGTTACATGTATGTTAAAAAGGTATTTTTTAATAAACAATTAATTAATTTAAATAATGTAATTTTAAGATAATTGACAGAGAATCCATATAGATTTTTTAAAAAGGGTTTGATTTAAGAAAACCTTGCAATCTGAATACTTAAGTATTGTATCGTTTGCGAGAAGGTGGGAGCGAGATAGTGTTGAAAATATTTAAACTAAAGTACCTCATTGACAGCATATGTTGCAAGCAATGTTGCAAGACCTTTATTAAACCAAAAATCCGACCCTGACGCATTGTTCATCACATCATAAAACCATTCTTGTGTCACTTTACGTCCTACTAATTGAACTACTTCGATTTTCTGAGCAATAGGATATACATTTTTATCGTAGATGATATCGGTTTCCCTGAAAGTTATAATTAAATGTTAAGATTGAAAACTTTTATAGAAAATACAATTTTATTTTTGTTACAATATTTTAATTTAATTGTTAGATGTACAATATACAAACTCATTGGTACAATTTAGCAAATTAATATTGTAAATCGTACTAAATAATTTTATTTTTTAATTTACAATATAAAGCAACGATAAATTTCTATTAATGTATATATTGTTGACAAAGAACAATAGTTTGAAATAAATAGAAAAATGTCATTTTTTTATAATTTTATTACAGTTTTAACATATCTGAGGGGGTACAATGTAGCACACACACATATATGTATACTTTACTTTTTATGTACGTATTAAAACGGTAAACTTTATCTTTGTAATAATATGAATAAACTCAATTCTACTGAAACTGTTTGTTTTCGTAATTTCTTATACTTCTAAACGTTTACAGAAATAAAAGATATACTTGTTTTTAAATTTTATAATTTTGCATACAAATATAATTTTATTTTTAATGTAATTTGAAGCATTTGTACTCACCTATAAAGAACAAGTCCGAAAACTGTTGTGCCTTTGTCATGGAAATTTGGAATTGCAACATGAGTCATGTACAAAATATTTTTCGAACGTTTCCATGTATTTTTAAAAAGCAACGTGATATTTTTAGCTACATTACTTGCAAATTCCATGTGACGTACAGTATCAATTCTGCACCACATTGTAATGATTGTATTATCAAGATGTGATAAGTAATTAGACACAATCATTGTTGCGTGATGAGTCCACATTACAGGTGTAATATGGAAGTGTTTCCATTTCACATCGTACTCATCTGTTCCCGCCTTTCTCAATGGCATATTTGACAAAGTTGTGCAATGCTGACATCCTAAAGAAATGCTAAAGGTTGTTTTTAACAATAAATCACGTGAATGCCAACATGGAAACACTGGTCGGGCGTCTATTATCTGGAGATGCGGAGCACCTACCCACCTACATTTCGAAGAACATAAATTAATGAAATTTTTTTGACAAACAAAAATATTGGGAATTAAAAAATGTATAAATGTTATATATGCGTCAACACATTATATTTTATGACTTTATTACATATTACTATTGTATATAATAATAAAGGTAACGATTGTTCATCCTTAGATTTGAATTCCGCGATGTATAATAATTATTGAAACATTTAATACATAAATAGTATATTATTTACAATGTCTTATGTACTTGCATATTGTACTCTTTTTAATTAACATTAGTTATTTACTTACGCATATTTTTTTTTCACGTCGAAAATTCTGAAGCCTTCATCAGCAGTACCCAAATATTTTATATTTAAAGTGTAATTTCCTGGTGATAACTCATTCATAAAGAAAATATCAATTGTGTCTTTTGTAATATTATATGTCGGTTTATAAATTGTATCTTTATCATTCTTATGATGTTTTTCTAAATTTGTAAATAAAACTATATTTTCAATACATAGTTTTACTGAAGATAAATATATGTGTTGCGTTTGGTTAAGAATGCTGATATTGTATTCTCCGTAGAAAATATTTCTTTGGATATATGATATGAGTTTGATATCATAATGCATTGGTTTTATATATTTTGGTGGTTGATAGCATAAAGATTCATTACGAACAGAAGTCGTCGCAGCGATAAATATTAATCCGCTAATAATAGTTCCGCTTAATAATAGTTTTAGAAATATCATCATGTCGGAGAAAAGGAATGTTTATTTTCGATCTGTAAAACACAACTTTAGACAAAACATAAATAAAGAAATAAGTATAGCTTTGATATCTTTTTAAATCTTTCTTGTATATAAACAAGAAATAAATACAAAAAGTATTAAAATTGTGAAATAAAAAAAACATCCTAATTAGTGAAACATTATATGGTGAGGAAGCGGTGTGCAAATTTCCATTTGCACAATTTTCAAAAATATAATATATATATATATATATATATATATATATATATATATATATATATATATATATTATATACTATAAGTCTTTATATTCTAACATTAATATTATATATATACATATGGTTGATATAATTCTACGTATTTCTAAGTGTTATATTTATATTTATTTCTAACTTATAAAAATTTGTTCACTTTTTTTATAATACACTACATTTATTATGATGATAGAAAGCAATTGTTCCCTTTTTTATTTTTCTTAATTATATACATAATCTTTAATAACAAAAATTAATATTGAATTCTTCTTTATTGTTTCATAGTTATTTTACTCAATATTAGCACAACTTAAAAATCATTTTATTATAAAAAATAAGTACAAATTTTAGAAAACAGAATTTTAATAATTTAGTAATGAGAGGACAATTAAAAGTGTTTGTTATAATATTTATTATCTGTTATGTAAATTGTAATATATTTTTTAGTTTCAGAAATAATTTGTTCTATATTAAATTTTTGTGGGTCCAAGATTATTTCAACATTACAATTCGTAAAAGATTATAATATTGACATTATTTGAAATTATCTCTGAATTAAAATTTAAAGATAATTTTGAATAAAGCTGTTCTCTTTATGCTTATATGTTGGAAATTCTTTAAAATTTCGTTACATTGTATGATTAAATTTTTTTGATATTTGCAGACAAATATATGTTTCTATATTTTTAACTTATTTTGACTTACCCAATATTTCGAAACAGTATGTTGATTGCAGAAGTATATTGATATAAATTTATTTTTTTTAATTAACTGTAACAAATTAATGCTTTAGCAGCATCCAATGTTCGAAGAATATAAAATGTTCACATACACTTTATTACAATTATTATATCTACCACGATATGGTTCGAAAGACCACGAAAGACTAACCGATTCTCTGTATGTGTCATCGCGATAAATATGTGTTAGGTCAACAAAACTTCTGAGGTCGTTATATGTATATTTGTGTGTGTGTGTGTGTGTGTGTGTTGGCATTTGTAACAGTTGTCTTAATTAAACATATTCAATTTCTGACCAATTAATCAAATAAATATGTCTAGTATTAATTAAATAAATATGTATTATTTACAAATTTATATCACTTTCGAAAAACATAAAATTAATCTTTCTAGCTCTGTTTCTAATAATAATTAATAAAACAAATATCGCATTTTTTAAACGTTAAAATTTTTACAGTTAACAAATAAAAGCAAGTATTGTAATTGTTGAGTATATAGTATGTAATACATCTAAACACATATCTTTTCAGTATTTAACATATATGTATAAATTTAATAAGGTTATTAAAATATTTACGTAAATATTTATGCTTTAAAAAAATATTAATGTTGAAAGAACAACCAGTATAACTAAAATTATTATCTGCCTAAAAAGTAACATGCTCTTAAAAGTATTTTTCAAATAAGTTTTATAATAAAACAATTAAACAAAAATCTTAACTATAGATCAAGAGGTAAAAAAGGCAAGTAAGAGCCAGCGCAGTATTTAGGGCGCAAACAATATAATGCTTAGTTTGTATCAAATCGATAATAGTAGGAATGAAATTGGCTTTAGAAAATTGACAAATTACATTAAAGTGGACTGTATTTCTGATAGTCTTATGTAGTACATGTGTCTTCGATGAGCGTTTTACGAATTCTGCGTTCTTCTTTCGCCGAAACCCTCGCGCGGGTATTCTCATCGCTTGTTTTTGTCGTTCGATATTCGGCAACCTTCGATTTTATTCCGTAAAGGAGTTCATTCAACCTTTATTATATAATTTAAAAAATTCATGTAACCATATGTTGATAAATGTTCGAAAATCGAACGTCTAAAGAAAGCTGAAAAGTATTAAAACATTATTGCATCAAATATTCAAATTCATGCAGTTTTCTCATTTTACATGCAACATGCATCATGCTTAATTTTATATTGATATTATTTTCAAATAGCGCTCGGCCGCACAGGTATACGTATACCCCGCGCCTGCGAAAAGGAAGCGCTTACGTCAAATCACATATAATTGTAAACACCTCGGTCGCGCGAGAGGAGATACATTTTAGTTCGTATAATAACAAAACTACGATGTGCTGGAAAGTAAATAATTACACTAAACGCTCTTTCGCCCTCAGCCGAACGATAAACTAAAGAAAATTGTTCTCGAATATTCCAGAAATACGGGCCTATATAAACCTCCTCTCTCGTGACCGCGGCGTTCTTTTCCGATTACTTGTCGCGTCAAGAGTGTGCTTCTACTTTACGAAAAAGATCGCTTGTCTTTTTTCGTGTCTAATTACAGTTGCTTGCGGAACATTTAGTTATTAATTATCGACTCGGCTATTTCTTTTGGTTTATTCTTATCAGTTAATTCTCTGGCAATTTCTGTGCGGTTTAAACAATTGTAATTTTTGTTGTTCGTAGTGTAAATATATTTTTTGTTCACGTTACGCGTGTGTCGAGTGCAGTGCTTCGCTGTCTTTTCGCTTCCGACCTTCCTATCCTGCTTTCCGTCGCGCACAATAAATGATTTTGTAATTAGTCCTTTTATCCTGTCAAGATCAGACACTGGCTTCAGACGATTTTTGGAAAACGAGTTGTTCCCGTTTCGCTTAAGAATAACATTAATTTGGGATATGAGAATTATTTTATACAGTTTTGTATTGTTGGAAATAAAATAATATGTTTTATATTATTTTAAGTTACAATCTAAATATTATATATTTTGTTTTATATTGATTTTAAGTTACAATTTAAATATGACTCTACTTATAAAAACGAGACATTTTTTGATATACATTATATGTATAAACTATTTCGATAAGTAAGACACTTTTAAACTAGCAGCGCACAATTGTTATATCTTGTTTAAAGTAAGACTACAGTAATTATTATAATTAAAAAATATTTATAAAAATATTAATAATACTAATTACTTTATTTTATGTTTGTATACTGTATCGTTTATGGGATTTAGGGGCGTAAGATATCGAAATTTACGCGAGGCCGCTCTTCGCGAGTAAAGTTTATCGTGCGTTAAGTTACTCTGCGGGAGTCATCCGAGATTCGCGAAATTATCGTGTGATCTCCCGATATCGTCTTTATAACGATTTTGGTCGCGTAACATTTGAAAAATTGTCACTGTAATATTCGGGTATTCACAATAATCACACAAGTTTCAGGTACAAGTATACTTTATTTATTGTCCTTGCTGCTTTATGCGTACTGTCGTGCGTTACACACACTCACTCGCTCTACTGCGCATGCGCGTACACTACATCCCTTCTTTATTTTTATTTTGATAGTACATATGTTTCTAATAGTAGACAATTAAATAATTGAATTGAAATGAGTTTAAGTAAGATAGAATCAACCAATATAAAATTAAATAAGATAAAATAAAATTACATTGCAATAAAGTTATAGTAAGATAGAATAGATTCGTACATTATAATTAGTACATCTGTATTTCATTTATTATCTCCCATTCTCCATTTACTTTTTTCAGGTGCATAATATTTCTTCTAAACTCTTTACCCGTAGAGTCGTTTTTTATTTTGATATCTCCTCCATTTACTTCTGTTACCGTGTGGGTGGTAGGATTAAAGTTCGAAGTTAATTTATTCTCTTTATTGATATTTCTTGCATATACCTTTTCTCCTACTTCCAAGTTGTTATCTGCAGCTTTTCTCTTCCGGTCTCCGTATTCTTTTCCTATTTCTTTCATCTCTCTATCCTTGTCTCTTACTTCTTGGTCTATTATTTTATTTTCAATGTCCATCTTAGCTGGTATTTTGTCTCGAAATTGTCTTTGATAAAATAATTCCGACGGCGATTTCCCTGTTGTAAGATGAGGTGTGCTATTGTACATCATTAAGTATGTAAATATTTGTTCCTTCCAGTCTTTTTCTCTAGTTGACTAATCTTGAGTCTTTTTAGTATATCTCTATTTTGTCTCTCTACCTCTCCATTCATTTGAGGCCAATATGGTATGGTGTGATATAGCTTAATCCCGCATTCAGTGCAGTATTTTTTAAATGTTTCGCTTGTGAGTTGGTTTCCATTGTCACAAGTTAGAGTCGCGGGAAACCCCAACCGTGAGAAAATTTCTTTCAGGATTTTGATCGTGTCTATTGCCGTTATATTTCTTGTAACTTTTATCTCTTTATATCTACTGTAATAATCTACGATGACTAGTAAGTAATCATTACTGGGCAAGGGGCCCAAAAAATCTATTGCTACATCTATCCATGGCATGCTCGGAAGTTCCCTTCTTCTCATGGGGTTTGGTGGATTAGGGGCAGAGACTAGTGTACACCCTTTGCATGATTTAACCATGTTCTCCGCGTCCTTATCTATTTTCGGCCACCATACTTTCGTTCTAAGTCGATTCTTCATTGCAACTATTCCCGGGTGTCCTTCATGAGCGGCTTCTAATACTCTTTGTCGTAATGGTGGTGGGATGACTATTTTATTGCCTCGTAAAAGAATGTCTTCATTGAAGCATAACTCCGCTTGAAAAATTTTATAGTTTCTAACCGATTCGTCCAGCTGTTGTTATATACGCCATTTTTTACTTTTAGGATTTCTCCGTCGATTGAAGAAGCGGCTTCGATTTCTTTCAGCGGTACTGCGATTGGTGTGCTATATTCGACAATCTGATTTATATAATTTTCGTTGTCAAATGGTTTTAGTGTGTTTGTCTTGCATAATCTTGATAATGGATCCGCGATGTTGGATTTGCCTGGTTGATAAATGACTTTATATTTAAACGCCTGTAGTCTCAAAACCCACCTTTCTATTCTGGCACATGGTTTGGATCTCTGTCCAAATATTATCTCCAGGGGTTTGTGGTCACTAATGAGTTCAAATTCTTTCCCGAAGAGATATATTTTAAAGTGTTCCACTGCCCACACGAGAGCTAGTGCTTCTTTCTCTGTTTGGCAATATCTTTTTTCGCAGTCTGTAAGGCTTTTGCTCCGTATGCTATTATTCTGGGGCCATTGGAATCGATCTGAATGAGTACTGTTCCCAAACCGACTGGGGAAGCATCTGCTATTACTTGCGTTTTATCGTCCGGGTTGTAATAACCAAGCGTTTTTATTTTTGATAGGCTTTCTTTTAGGTCTTGGAACGCTATATTTTGATCTGATGTCCAGTATTTTTGAATATTTGTTGTTTGTTTAATTTTAAGCGTAGTAATTTCCTGAACGGTTCTGTTAAGGTAGCCAGGTTCGGTATCCATTTACCTACGAAATTCACCAAACCTAGGAAACTCTGGAGCTCTTCGATGGTTGTAGGGCATCGACTGGTTTGTATTACTTTTATGTATTTTCCTAGGGGTTTTATACCTTCCTCCGATAATTCATGTCCTAGAAATTCCACCTTTTTGGTTTTATAAATGCCCTTCCTCTCGTTCAGCAGAACGTCATTTTCCTTCAGGACTTCCAATACTTTTTCAGCCTTTTATCATGGGAAAGTTCATCTTGTCCGTACACAATTATATCGTCGATGAAGTTTGATGTGCCTTCGCATCCTAGAAGCATTCTTTCAAGAACCTTTTGAAATATCTCTGGGGCGCAGGATATCCCAAACATTAGTCTTTTATATCGGAAAAGCCCTTTGCTGGTGCTGAAAGTTGTTATGTACCGAGAATCAGGGTCTATCTCTACTTGATGAAATGCGTTTTTTATGTCTAATCGGGAGAAATATTTCGCTTGTCTAAAGTTTGGTAGCATCTCGTTCATCGTAGGCAATGGGTGGTTTTCTCTTATTATTGCTTTATTGGCACGTCGCATGTCGATGCAAATACGTACTTCGCCGTTTTCTTTTAATACAGGTACCATCGGCGATACCCATGGTGAAGGTCCGTGAACCTTTTCAATGATGTCGGAATCCTTCAGTTCTGCCAGTTTTTCGTTAACTTTATTTTCTAAAGGAATCGGTATCCTTCTATATGGTTGGATTACCGGTTTGACGGTTTTGTCTATTGGTATTGTAATTTTGACGTCTTTGAACTTCGGAAGTGGTTGGATGGCGTTTATTTGAAGACCGATTTGCAGTACCCCTAGCTCGATTGCGGTATTTTTCCCTAGTAGGTTTCGCGTCCCATTGCGAATAACGTAGAAAGTCGCTCTCCGTGGGGAATTATTGGTGTTAATGGTGATATCTGCTTGAAATGATCCAATAATGTCTAAAGGTTTTTTACTTCCATATGGCAGAAGTACTTTATCTGGCTTTTTTATTTGTTGATAAGCCTTTACCTCGTGTTCCTTTAGATATTGCCAGGTCTTATCGGTGATAACATTGCACTTGCTTCCTGAGTCGATTAGCATTTCAATCTTTATTCCTCCCACTAAACAATTTATAACCGAGTCCTCATCCAGATGGAAAATATAGTCTACTTCTTCAGTTTTAGTGTCTTCTTGCTTATGTTTGTTAGGTCTAGTTTCTGTCTTTTTTTCAAATATCTTTCTCTTTTGTTTTGTCCTGCAATATTCTCTGAAGTGGCCAAAGAGATTGCATTTGAGACATCTTTTATCTCTTGCTGGACATTTCTTGTCATACTGTGAATGCTTGTTGCTGCCGCATCTTGAGCAAGTCTCGTCGGCATTCCTATTATTTGCTTGTTTATTTGAACTTTTGTACTTTTTAAAGTCTAATTTGTTGATTTCATTATTATTTCGTTCTTGATGACTTAAGTCTTTTTTATTAAAGACTTCTAGTTGTCTGCTGACTGCTTCCAACGCGTTTGCTTCACTAATAATCTGGTCGAGTGTCATGTTGTCTCCTGTTGATAGTATTTTTTTCCGTAACTCCGTTGAATTGCATTTCTCTACTATTTGGTCTATTAGGTGTTCTTCAATGTTTGTAAACTTACACTTGTTTGCTTGGTTTCTTAATTTGAGTAGGAATTTTTCAAATTTTTCACTCTCTTCTTGTTTTATCAGTCTAAATAGATGTCTTTCATAAACCTTGCTTTGTTTTGGTGAAAAATATTCATCTAATTTATTAAGTGCGACCTTGTAGACGTCTACTCCTTCTGCTTCATCCACGTGTGCTCCTGGTATATTATAATAGATATCCTGTAAAGTTAGTCCTCCGGTGTGTAGGAGCGTTGCTCTTTTATTTGCTGGTTTATCTATGTTCAAAGCTAATAGATATATTTCCAGTGCTCTCTTCCATTTTTCCCAGCGTGTGCCTACAGAAGCTGGGTCACCGTCACAATCAAAACAATTGAGACTTGTCAGCGTCGAGGCTAGTTGAGCCATTTAGATGATCTGAAATTAAATTTAAAATATATATTTTTTTTCTCATGGCCCTTTATAGCATTTGCTAACAGATTTCTTTGCGTGGCCCTTGAAATATTGAACCATAAAGAACTTTTGTTCTTGTTGCGTGGCCCTTTAGCATTTGCTAACAGATTTATCTGCGTGGCCCTTGTAATGTCATGATTAAGTAAGCGACAATATTGAAACATGAAGAACCTTTGTTCTTATTGCGTGGCCCTTCAGTTCTTTTGACTGCATGGCCCTTGTCCAGGATTGACATACGTTATACCTGACGGAATTTTTTTTTTTTTTTTTTTTTTTTAGTTATAATAATCTCGTCAAGCAACCGTAGTACCCGGAAAGTTTGCACTTTCATGCGTTATTGACATTCTTTATGTGCGTGGCCCTTTTATTACTTGCTGTAATCAATGTGCGTGGCCCTTTGCATACTTGTAATTAATTTATTTCGTAATGTATGATTCATTTAGAAGTAAGTAAAGTCTTCCGACATTGTCATTTGTATCTATCTTCTAAACTGACTTGTTTTCTATAGCAAATTTATAGACGTCAATTGACAATGCACGGAGGTTAGTTTACTTTACTTTTTTTTTTTCTTTCCTTTTACCTGTTTATTTACTTCTTGGCACTCAAGTTCTTCTTCCTCGTCGCCACTTGTAATATTCGGGTATTCACAATAATCACACAAGTTTCAGGTACAAGTATACTTTATTTATTGTCCTTGCTGCTTTATGCGTACTGTCGTGCGTTACACACACTCACTCGCTCTACTGCGCATGCGCGTACACTACAGTCACATTAAGACTTACTGGCGAATCTGCGCCGAGTAACGTGTATTGTTTTCGATAGTGAATATGGTAATTATATATATAATGAATATTTGCGAAGTTTATGTATTGTATCGATTTTCGTAATCCACAGATCTATATGGGTCCGCGCACGCGCCGCATTCCGATCTGATCACGCGTTATCCGCGTGTTGCAAAGGAGCCCGGCCGTGTTTACCACGCGGCCGATTATAATACCGGGTTTTGAGGAGTCTCGTCATTGCCTAGGGGAAATGTCCATAGAGAGATGTTCGTAAAGTACCGGAGGACTATTCGTCCTTATATCCGCCGTTTCGTACGATGTATCCAATGTTATATTACTGTATCTTACTTTTATTGTCCACTGTATGTAATGTGTCTATGTAATTGTCTTAATATTGTTAAAATACATTGTTATATATTTTATTAGCCCAATCTCTGTGTTCTAATTAAAATCTCCTTTCCAGAATCTCTGAAAACAATATCTGTGAACCGCGCTCCTCTGCTGAGCAGGGCGTAGCTGGAGAATTTACGCTTTCTGAACGAATTTTGATACCGTGACACGCGGAATCGCGCCTGGCACCTGAATATTTAGAATTGTCGTGAATACCGATATTCAAATACCGTTAGTTACCTTTCGAATATTAACTTTTTCTGTCCTCTGGATACCGAATTATTCGTATATACATCTGATACCGCCAATCGGGTACTCGTCACCCGATTGTAATTCGGCGTTTTCTCCCTCGGGTTCGGCGTGCTCGAGGCCGGCGAATTAACCTCGCACAATAAATATAATTCAAAATAAATAGATAATATATTTAGGTGCATTTAACATTTAACAAGCATATTTATATATTTATATATTTTTTATATATTTATTCATTTGTATTATTATATTATATCTAACAGTAAACTTATTGTAATATTATATGGTTATTTTCTTGTAATTATACTAGTATAATATATAGTTTAACTACTTCAAGCAAGTTTGCAAAAATATGAAAAACTTGAGGCAAACGGTCATAAAATTTAGTAAATATAGAGGCATCGAATAGTAACGCATCTATATAAACAATAATTGAAGCAGTAAAAGAAATAGTACATACAATATAAAAAATTATTCATGTAAAATACATTCACCTATGCATAGCTGCAATTTTTTTATTTCTATCATTGATTAAAACGGATGCTTTCCTAATATATAATCTAAATCTATATCCTAATATATAAAAACAATGAAATCAATATACCGTTTATATAATAAATAAAAAAATATAAAATTAATGTTTTGAGATTAATAAGAGAGAACAATATTTTTTTCTTTTGCTTTCCATAATAATAATTATTAAATTTACCTTTTCTAAGTGATAACTGCTAAATAAATCTTTTGTATTATTCATTATATTAATTATGTCTGCTAAGTCCGTCTTCCATCTTTCAACGTATTCTTCTATTAACTAAAATGTTTTATTTTTTTAACATTAGGTATTAATAAATAACGTTTTTGTAACATTATAACACTATTAAAATTATTTTAAACATTATATAATAATTATTAATATTGCATTATTATTACATTTTGTATACATTTATAAACATGTAAAATTTTTACCTTAGTTTGATTTACGGAATATACGTTATTAATAATAATAATTAATGCTGCAGGTATAATAACAAGTCTAAAACCGATAAAACAGATGTATATATAATACAAATAAAAACTTTTTTACAAAATATTTATAAAAATATAGCACATTACTTTGGTTTTATTTCTTTAAAATAACTTAATAAGTGCTCCAGTATAGTTTGATCCTTCGCATGCTTTGTAATAATATATAAGAAACTGTTAAAAGAATTTGGATATTTATCTTCTGTAGAAATACTTTGTTTTAATGTTAAATACGATTTGATGCGATTAGTATCTTCAGTGCAAGCCAAGTATTCTAAAAATTTAGTGTCATTTTTTTCCAAACCTATCACATACACAATTTCCCAAGTATTCTCTTTTTCGGTAGTTATCATCAAATCTTTACAATATGTCCATTCCATTTACCATGGCATAAGTCTGAAATAAAAAGAAAATTAAATTTTCCTATTAAAAATTAGCATATAGATCTCTTGATTAAACCATTTGAACATTATAGAGAATATCAATAAGAAAATTTAATTAAGAAAGCGTAAAAGTATATAATAATATTTACCTGTATGTTTTAGATTGTTCGCAATGTTGTTTTAATTTAATGTTGGCCTCTTTCTTACAAGCGATGTCACCGAGAAAACATGCTCATCTTGCAGCTTCTTGTCGTAAACATGTTTTAGGGTCGTTACTATCATCAATTTCTTCATATTTGATTCTTTTAAGTACCCCGATTAATCCCAACTTTATGCGATTCTAAAAATCGTTAAATATATATTTCTTAGTTTATATTATAAATGTATATAAAAATCATTATATTTTTTATTACTTCTCAATACATTCTTAAAATTTTCTTTTTCTATGAAACAAACATACATACAAATTTATTTATAGACGTGAGCGTTTATTTATGTACGTATACATATGTTCAAATATACATACATGTATGCAAAAATATGGTTTAATTTGTGCGAAATGTTTATAATATTTAAAAGGTATTATTAAAGTTATATAACTATTTATCAATTATATTCTATTTTTAGATAAGGTAAAAAATATATATCTTTTTGAAATATATAATTAAATTTTTCTAACTATATATATATGTTTTACCTTTTTTAAATTATTGACATGTAAAATATATATATAAGGTCAACATAATTGCATTCATTAACAAAGATTTTAAGCAACTAGCTATATATCCAATAACAATGTTGACGAGTGAGTGATTATTCAAACTGAATTTGTTTGCGACGTAATAGTAAGCAAAACTTTCCTTAAAATAAATGTTATATATTAGAATAAAATATTTGTAACCATATAACATTAATATTGAATGATATTATTAAAAAACATAATTTTAAATATAATATTATGTATATAATAATGTACAATATGACACAAGCATTTTAAAACTATTATATAGTTATATAGTTGGTGCCTTGTGCACCGGTATTTAATTCTAACGAAAAATTATTTAGTTTCGTTAGAACAACGCATTGTCATCCGCGATTTGGCTCTTGTTGCCCGTCTTATACGTTAAATTTATATTTATATTACAGAGCCTTGTTAAAACTCTTATATTTGATACACGCTGGCTTAAAAAATGCGTTTGTTTACCAACATTAATATATATAACAGAGAAAAGTATAGAATCGAAAGGATCTGAATAGCTCAGCTGGAAGAGCAGTCGCCCGGCAAGCGAAAGGTCTCGGGTTCGATTCCCGATTCAGCGATTTTCGGATCTATATTTTTCTCTTGCATTCATTTATTTATTTTCCGTAGGGGGGTTAAAGGGGTATTGAAATTAAATCTCAAAATATGAGATTATTTCATATTTAAAATCTTGGCCGTGTCCAAGTAAAAATTTGGTGCATTGTGCACCGGTATTTAATTCTAACGAAAAATTATTTAGTTTCGTTAGAACAACGCATTGTCATCCGCGATTTGGCTCTTGTTGCCCGTCTTATACGTTAAATTTATATTTATATTATATAGTTATTTAATAAATATTTCAAATTTTTATAGGAAAATGAATAAAATGGACACAAATATAAAATAATGTCAATTATATGTGTGTAAAATAAAAACGAGAAATATGTCATAATAAGTCCATTAGTTAATATTTACCAATTTGTTGTATATTGAATATTATCTAATCATAATTTTTAAATAATACTAGTAATGGTAATTTTAAATCCCTTGACACGCATACTATATAATGGATAAAATTGTTAAAATCAAGAGACGTTTCCGTAGTAAAAGTTACAGAAAGGCAGTCAATTTTTAATGTGTCGATATATTGTATCGATACATTATTTCGCCCATAATATCATGATAATTTCGTCCTACTTTAATGAGAGGACCATGCTTTTCCAGAGCCCAATCTTCCATTGTTAGTTGTGGAGCTATATGTAGATTTTTTGTTAAAGCAGCATGTCTCGTAAGATTCAGAAAGTCTAGATCATGTGGTCGGCTAAATTTACAAAATATGTAAAATAAAAAAAATAAATATGTTAAAATTGTCTGTATAATGTTAGTATTATACAAAAATTTAATAAATACTAATTGGAAAAAGCAAAATATGAAATTGCACTTCTATTCATATATTAAATATTATATTTTATTATGATAATAAAAATTATAACGTAATTTTAAATAAAATTTAAAATTATATTAAATTTTTTAAATATTTTTAGCATTAATATAGATTATATTCGTGCGAAGTATTGAAAGAGTTATAAAATAGTTAAAAAATAAAACAAATAAGAAGTTAAACACAAAACGAAATTAAGAGAAATAATATAAAGGAGATCGATTTACGAGAGACCAAAATAAAAATAGAAAAGTAATGGAAAAGAGATATTAGTGTTTTAGATATTTAAAAACCTGTTAGATAAGATTAAAAAACAAATGTAGCACAAAATGGAATAAAAGAAATTATAAAAATTAAAGACGATATAAAGAAATGGTATATATTTATTGAGATATAGGGAGCCACCTCCGATTTCTTTGACCTTGACATATGTTGTCAAGGTCACTATCCTGAGTAAGTATCAAAAGATTTTATGCGTCGCTTATTATTTATAAAAAGTTATTAAAAACAAGTGTATTAAATAAAACTAATATTTGTGTATGATATATATATTTAAATGTATTATATGTTTGGACGCATAATGAAGTAAACGCGTGGGTCAAGAAGGAGCCTGGGGCTGCGCCGGGAAGAGGGAAGCCCATTCAAAAACTAACCCTTTACCAACACATCTCCGAAGAATGAATTTTAAACAATGTTTCTAATATTTATATAAATATTCTTTTGCCTTTATAGTCAGAATAACTGTTATATTTAAAAAAAATTTTTTTGTTAATAAATTTTTTATAAACAATGAGCAACACTTAAAACCTTTTCATACTTACTCAGGACAGTAACATTGACAACATATGTCAAGATCACAGAAATCAGAGGTGGCTCGTCATATCTCAATAATTAGCAAATAAAATAACAATGTGTATGTATATAAAAAGGTGACAACGATAAAACAACAATTTCTTTTTACAGAAACGATTTTTATGGGAAAAATAATGAAATTAAAAATAAATCTAGTAGCAGTTTTAAGAAATAACGGAATTGTTATACTATAATAACAAAAAGCATTAGGAAATAATGTCAGAAGTCAAAAAACAAGGGATATTTTATAAAACTTCTATTAGTAAACATTATTTATATTACACAATTTTATTTTTTAATATTATATTTTATATTAAATTACTCACGTGCTATTTACATATAAGCGAATGCTTTTCCAAAATATTTCTTCGGTCAAGACATGTTGCATCATACGCAGTATAAAAGGTGCTACAATTTACATCAAATTAGATATATTATAAATATATATAAAAAAAACTTCAAAGGACCATTCAATTATAATTTTCTCTAATTACATATGTGCCGCGATTGCCGGACACTGTGTGTGTGTGTGTGTGTGTGTGTGTGTGTGTATGTGTGTGTATGTGTGTGTGCGTGTGTGTGCGTGTGTGTGTGCGTGTGTGCGCGTATGTGTGTATTTTTATAAAAATGATATTTAATTAAAATCCAGATAAAGAATTAATTCCAACTTAACAGATATTTTATAAATAATATTAGTAGTTAAAAATTTACGCGGACTATTCTATTATATTACGTTATATCTCTGATAGATTGGCGATATTTCAATAAACTGTCATTTTGTGAAGTAGAAGGCCACATATGATCATCATCCAAATTAAGAGAATAATGTTGATTTTGAACAACAAATAAATTTATTATTTGATAATCTGGATAAGTCTACAGAAGAAAATAATTAATATATATCGACATAACCAATCTGAAGATATTTGCATTACAAACAAATACTAATATTATTAACGTTACTTCTTTGTTAAAACGAAACACTTTCTCATTTTGAAAAACTCACATTAAAACAAATAAAATAATAAAATTTAAAATTTTGTATTAATATAATTAGCAAATATTACATATTTTTATATTTTATATTTTTAATATTGTAAATCGTACTAAATAATATTTTTATTTTTTAATTTACAATATAAAACAACGATAAAAATTTCTGTTAATCTGTATATCGTTGACAAAGAACAATAGTTTGAAATAAATAAAAAAATGTCATTTTTTTTATAGCTTTATTAATAAGATGAATAAACTCAATTCTACTGAAATTGTTTGTTTTCGTAATTCCTTATACTTTTGAACGTTTACAGAAACAAAAGATATACATTGTACAAGTTTCAACGATGGATCGTTGTAGGATGTCGGGTTTTTGAGATCGAATGATTGTACGCGTTTTGAATCGGTTAAGAATCGCTTTATTTCACTTGGAACAAGTACGTCGCGTAACAAAGACTGATGTCGCTCGGCGTTGGCTCTCTCGAGGACTGATTCTAGGGCAGCGCGAATTTCGGAGCGCGCGTAGGGCGGCTGCCGATCGGAGTCGCGATTGAATTATAGAAATCAGGCAATGTACACACGCCAATTAACGGCGGGTGTACACGCAGGTTTCACGTGGTTCTTAAACGTAAACAGTGAGGAATTTCAAACATCCTTGAGGATTCGATCGTCCTCGAGGATTCGCTCCGAAGAATAAATCTTCAACATACATGTTTTTAAATTTTTTAATTTTGCATACAAATATAATTTTTTTAATTATAGTATTAAGCATTTGTACTCACCTATAAATAACAAACCCAAAAACTATTGTGCCTTTGTCATGGAAATTTGGAATTGCAACATGAGACACCATCGAAATATTATTCGAATGTTTCCATTCATTTTTTAAAAACAACGTGATATTTTCAATTGCATTTTTTGCAAATCCTATGTGAAATTTAGATTCAAATCTGGCCCACATTTGAATGTTTCGAGTTTTGTAATTAAGACGGGATAAGTAATTAGACACAATTATTGTTGCGTGAGAAATCAACATTACAGGTGTGGTATTGTAGTGTTTCCATTCCAAATTGTACTCATCTCTTTCCGTATTTCTCAATGGCATATTTGACATAGTTGTGCAATTCTGACATCCTAAAGAAATGTTAAAGGTTGTTTTTAATCATAAATTACGTGAATCCCAACATGGAAACACTTGTGGGGCGCCTATTATCTGGAAATGCGGAGCACCTACATTTCGAAGAATATAAATTAATGAAACTTTTTTGACAAGCATAAAAATATTGGAAATTAAAAAATGTATAAATGTTATATGCGTTAACACGTATTATATTTTATGACTTTATTACATATTATTATAATAATAAAAGTAAAGATCGTTCTCACCCTTAGATTTAAATTCCGCGATATATAATAATTTTTGCGACTTTTAATACATGAATAATATTTTAATTACAATGTGTTATGTGTAGTTGCATATTGTACTTTTATTAATAAACATTTATTATTTCTTTACGTAGTTGTTTCTTCCATGTCGAAAATTCTAAAGCCTTTATCAGCAATATTAAAAACATATTTTATATTTAAAGTATAATTTTCTAGTGATAACTCATCCATAAAAAAATATCAATTGTGTCTTCAGTAATATTATATGTCGGTTTATAAATTGTATCTTTATCATTCTTATGATATTTTTTCAAATTTGTAAATAAAACTATATTTTTAATACATAATTTTACTGAAATATATGTGTTGCGTTTGGTTAAGAATGCTTATGCTGACATTTTGTATTCTCCATAGAAAATATTTCTTTCAATAAATGGTATAAGCTTGATATCATAATGCATTGGTTTTACATATTTTGATGGTTGATAACATAAAGATTCATTACGAATGAGAGCCGTCACAGCAATAAAAATTAATCCGCTACTTAATAGTAATTTTAGAAATATCATTATGTTGAAAAAAAGGAATATTTATTTTTAATCTGTAAAACACTTTAGACAAAAATAAATAAAGAAATTAAATATAGCTTAAATGTTTTTTTTTTGAATGATTTTTGTATATAAACAAGAAAAGTATTAAAATTATTAATTGAAAAACCATTTTAATTAGTAAAATATATGCGGTGAGAAAGCAATGTGCAAATTTCCATTTCAAACAATTTTCACAACATATATATAATTTTTTAAAATAAAATTATATATATGTTAAGAAAGTTGCTTTTTTGTCGATTATTACAGTTTCTTTGTTCATTTTCATAGTCGATAAATCGATTCTTTTTTTGGCTATTGTCGCGCCATATTCTTCTCTCTCTCTCTCTCTCTCTCTCTCTCTCTCTCTCTCTCTCCCATACGGCACAGGACCTTGCAGCAATATTGCAATCTGAAATATTGCAATGCAATATTTCAGCAACATTGCTGAAATATGAATATAGAACATTGCTATAATAATGTGGTCATAATGTTGCAGCAATATTGAAAATATACTGTTATAATTTTATAAATAGTAAAAATAACATGTATTTTTTGTTCTTACATGATTAAGATACTTTAATGCAATTTAAGTAAATTTTTAGTTTTTATTAGGTTTATAAAAAATTATTATATATCATATGTTGTGCACGTGTACATATATGTGTATATTATATACGCAGATTATTATATATGAATATATAACGTGTTATATATTAACATATTTCGTATATAAAATTTTTATATAATTTAGTTTTTTTATTGCAATATATAATAAGAATAAATTTAAATGTTGCGTATATTTTATTTTATGTAACTCATATATATACATAAATATTAAATTCTGAAATATTCTCTTTTATACTGCATGTAATATATATTTACAAACACGCACATTCTAACAATCTATGAGATATATATATATATATATATATATATCTCAGATTTAATTAGAATGTAAAAATACTACTTATAGATCTGTTCGCGTTGACTGAACTCGCTGCATTAGTTCAGAAGTTGTCTTTTTTGCTCGACATTGTTGGAAGGAAAAAGATAACTTCTGAACTAGTGCAGCAAGTTCAGTCAACGCGATCTTACGTCAATACAAAGCATTATAATACATATATATATACATATATTATATTGCAATATTGTTGCACTATTGCATTGTAATATTGCTGCAGTATTGTATTGTAATATTGCTGCAGTATTGTATTGTAATATTGCTACAAGCGGACATTTTACCGTTGCTGCAATATTGCTGCAATGTTGCAGCAACATTTTGCAACATTGCTGCAATGTTGCAATTTTGCAAATAAATATTGCAGCAACATTGCAGCAATATTTCTGTGCCGTATGGGCTCTTTCTCTCTTTCTCTCCCGCGCTTTTTACGTTAACGCATGCACGCACTTTGTATCAAGTGAAATGCAATTCTGTTTTTTAGGCTTTCTAAGAGAGAAATTGTTTGTCGCTTCCATAGATTCCCAACAATATATACATATGTATTTTAGTGTCGCACATATTTTAATTGACGGCAATATAGAAATAGTTTTACAACATATTTTATATTTTCTTTATATAATTATTTTTTTGGTCAAAAATGATACATATTTAAAAATTTATAGCATATTATTTAGAATATAAAGATTTATAGTATATAAAGTTAGTTGTCAAAAATAAATTACTTTAAAAAGAGAGCCGTTATTTCTACATACATATATACCTGTGTGTACATTCAAAATAAGAAGAAGACAGTAGGGATCAGAAAAACTGAAAAACAGCGCGCGTGCAAGAGAGAGAGAAAGACAGAGAGAGAGAGAGAGGGAAAAAAAGAGCGCACATGTTTATTATGTTCCTTTGAAAGTTTGTTTAATTTCTTCTCTTAAACTGTATATTATAAACACTAAATGAACATTCACCGAGAATTAAGCCAACATAAATTCAATTTTAAATTGTATCAATTATTAACTTGATAATAAATTTTATATACATATATACAAGATATCCCAGAACTAGCAGTAAACCAGTTAAAAGCAGATATCTGAGATCATTTGCAGACGATTTTTTCTTAGCGAAAATGTCGAAGTACCAATCAATTTCGAGTTATAAGCGATTGAAAGTAAATGGTTTTTCGCTAACCAAATCTTTTGGAAATAAAATATTAACAAAATCACATTTATCAATGAATTATTTATCAATGAATTTTAAATAGAGTTTACTTTTATTAGAATTTTAATATAAAATTTAATTACTAAGATGCATGATGACATATTTGGGAATATGCAAATAATGATAGTCTTCCTCGGCATTTTCATAGAAGAAAAATTGGCTTCAAATTATCTCGAAAGTCTAATATTAACAGGTTTATTACTATTTCTGGGACATATCATGTATGTAATGGGGTCTTTTTCAGATATTTCAGATTAAACGCCTCAAA